ATCCGTGCATTTTTAAAATCCAGAAGGAAGGGATACACCACACAGGAAACGTAAGGCCACATAACTGTGTTTGGAAGCACGGTGTTTAATTGCCAGCCCTTTCTTGAAGTCCAGCTACTGGGTAATGTTATCTGGCAGCTTCTGAAACCAGAGGGGCTTTATCTGTGCGGGTAAACAGAGCTGGCTTTCTCCAGTGACCTCTGCCCTCTCCCCCTCCGACACCTGCTCTTTCCCTGTCGTTTATCTCTAAAGCAGGACCAGCCCGGAGGTCTTCAAGAAGCTCTGGTGTTGGGATGAGTGGCTAGGGTGAGGCTGGAATGCTGCACCTCTGTCGCTCATCTGGAGTGATAATCTAGGCTACGGCAGGGAAGAAATCCAGGCAGATAGCAAGCATCTTGTCAAGAAGAGAGGACGGGTCTGGAGTTCGTCTTCAGATCTCTGGTCGCATCTATCGGAGGGTGGTGACTAATTCCAAGGCTGGGGACCTCTGGCCTGTCGCAGCATTTGGGAAATACCTGGGGGTGGGAGTGTCGGGAGTCTCCCAGCTAATGTAGTGGGTACTATGAGTGAGATCCAGCCGGTGCTGACTCCAGAATTCTCTTCTTACTTGCCAAGCCACTACCTTGAGATAAATGCGGCCTCTTAACATGTGCAATTCAGGCACCAACTACCAGGCCTGCCTGCATCTTCCAGCAGCCAGGCCTCAGTGTATCCTTCCAGCTGCCAAGCCCAAGTCTATGATTTATTCTCCCTGGGAGGTGAAAGGGAAGCCACTAATTACCACACAGGAAGGAGCACAGGTGTTAAGCCCCAGTTAAGTCCTTCCTCAGCTCTGCTTCACAGGCCCAGGAGAATGGTGGACTTTAATGACTTGGAGACAGGCTCACCTGGTTCTGTCTCCTCTGGTGGGCGTGGCTACATCTTCTCCCTGTCTAGGGACCTGCAGCAAGGAGATGTTCAGGTGAAAGAGGGGAGGGAGCAGTAGGGTGCCTTTGACCCTCCTGAAACCCCAACTCCTCTTGCACAGTAGCCGGGAGTTGCAAGGCCTGAGGGTTGGCCCGCTTTTGCTGCCTCCCTGAACCCTGATGTGTCTGATTCCCCAAGTTCTGTCTCTGGTTGGTCCTGGGCTCTCAGTGTGCCTTTGACTCTTCCTTGTTCCTCTAGGGCAGTGGTTCTCAACCTTCCCAGTGCTGTGGTGACCCCCCCCCAACCATAAAATTATTTTGTTGCTACTTCCTAACTGAAATTTTGCTGCTGTTATGAATTGTAATGTAAATATCTTTTGGGGTCATGAGCCACAGGCTGAGAACCACTGCTTTAGGCCCACCCCTTCCCTCCACAAAGGTGTCTAGACTTTTCCAGCCATTTGAATGAAGCTTTCAAAGATTGTTTTGTTTTGTTGTTGTTGTTTGTTTTTTGTGGGTTTGTATGTGTGTGTGTGTGTGTGTGTGTGTGTGTGTGTATGGTTTTTCAAGACAGGGTTTCTTTGTAGCTTTGGAGCCTGTCTTGGAACTCGCTCTTGTAAACCAGGCTGGCCTCGAACTCAACTGCCTCTGCCTCCCGAGTGCTGTGATTAAAGGCCTGTGCCACCACTGCCCGGCAAAGATGTTTAATTCTTACCAAGTTATTTGTTTTAAATGCCCACAGACCTAAATTTACCTATAGAGAAATAGGCCTGTGACTGCTGAATGAATGTTCTCTCCGAGATTAAAATTTAATTACCGTTGTAGCAATAGAAAGAGGAGGGACCTTTAGATAGGCCACAGCCTTCCGGAATGGATTTATGCCCTTGTCATGGAGCTGGGTTCATGGTAAAAAGGATGAGTTTAGTTGCATTTCCTCTCTCACCCCTCCCTCTCATGCCTAGAACTACTCTCCACAGCTGCCAGCACCATGCTCTTGAGAACCAAATCAATGTCTAGCGTTTATAATCTGCCCTGCCTTGATTTCTCAGAAAATTAGGAAACAACCTTCCTCAAGGCCCAGTAATACCACTTTTGGGTATATATCCAAAGGATGCTCAATCGTGCCACAAGGACATGTGCTCAACTATGTTCATAGCAACTTTGTTTGTCATAGCCAGAACCTAGAAACAACCTAAATGTCCTTACCGAAGAATGGATAAGGAGAATGTGGTACATTTACACAGTGGAGTACTACACAGCAGAAAAAAATGACATCTTGAATTTTGCAGGCAAATGGATGGAGCTAGAAAACATTATTTTGAATGAGGTAACCCAGACACAGAAAGACAATTATCATATGTACTCACTCATAAGTGGTTTTTAAACATAAAACAAAGAAAGCCAGCCCACAAATCACAATCCCAGAGAAGTTAGACAACAATGAGGACCCTAAGAGAGACATACACAGATCTAATCTACATGGAAAGTAGAAAAAGACAAGATCTACTGAGTAAATTGGGAGCATGGGGACCTTGGGAGAGGGTTGAAGGAAGGAGGGGAGCAGAGAAAAATGTAGAGCTCAATAAAAATCAATAAAAAAATAATTTGCCCTGCTTCAGGCAACGGCAGAAAACTAAATCTCCGGTATGCTGAAGAGATGGGGAAAGGACTCAGACTTGGTCCAAGCCTTCTGCTGTGAATTTTATTAGCTGTGTGCCTTTACTATTAGCATCCCTGAGCCTCGCCCTCCTCCTACACCATATAGGGATAATCACTGAGAAGAATAAGTGAGCCAATACGTGTAAATTCTTTATGTCATATTGGCATATAGTAACTTAGTTACCTAAACACAAGCTATCATTTAGTTGTCTAAAGATTTTGTAATAATTATTGTATAAGATACGTGTTTGCATACAGAATAAACCGAAGCATATGCACATACACCTGTCTGCCTATGTGTCGGTCCGTATATTTATTTATGTTTATTTTTCCCTCAGACAGGGTCTTATGTAGCTCAGGCTGACCTTGAACTCTTGATTACCCTTCCTCCACCTCTCAAATACTAGAATTATCAGTGCCCACCATTGTGCCTGGCTTTAAAAAGAATTACTATTTTCACTGCTGAGACCGGAGCCCAAGGCCTCAAATATGCTGGACAAATGTGTAGCCACTGTACCCAATTCATATTTAGTACAATAAGCCAGTAGTTTATTCTGAGCTCATATGGGCAGGGCTGGCCTTTTATTTAATGTTTTTCCTTGCTAGGACTTCTGCTCATCAATGCTCCATCTCTGGGTGGTGACATTTCTCCTAATTTCTGACTTTATGTGCTCTCCTTGGTTATCTTTCATGACCAAGACACCTTAGAAAAGAAAACATTTAATTGGGCATATGATTTCAGAGAGTTAAGAGTCTGCGATGGTAGAACAGAGCACTGGGAAGGCAGCCGGAGCAGCTGCTGAGAGATCACATCTCGATCCACAACCACAAGGCAGCAAGTGAGACCCACAACTGAGAATAGAGTGATCTGAACCCTCAAAGACTGCCTCAGTGACGCACCCCCTCCACCCCTCCAGCCGGGATCATGCCTCCTCATCTTTCCCAAACAGTTCTGCCAACTGAGGACCAAAGCAATCAAATATATGAGCCTATGGGGGCCATCCTCATTCATACCAGCACACTGACTGCCATAGCACGGAACGGGTGAGAAACAGGATTCAGAGAGTGTAGCCTTGACTGAGTTACCAAGCACCAGGCCTCCTCTGCACGGCTGTGTGCAAGTTCTGGTATCCCCAGCTGTGGAGTTGGACCAGTCTGACTTCTTCTCTCTGTTGAAGTTCCTGCTCCATTTAGTCCAGGCCCTGGCTTCTCTGACAGGAAGATTTCCACTAGGAGAGCCCCACAGACCTATGGTGTCTGAGTCGTACACCAGTGGCCTCAAACCTGAATGTCTACAGCTCTGGAGTGATTCTGATGGATATTCAGATGTGGGAGCCCTTGTGCCTCTCCAGAGGTCATTCCCTTGTGTCCTCCGTGCCAGGGGAGGTCAGCAGAATAGCCCCATGGTATGTGTGTGCAGTCTCTGGGCCTCTGGCCGGGTGTGGAACTGGAACAAGCCACACTGAGTGAACAAAGCGCTTTTTCCTCTCCCCCAGAAACCTCCTGAACCAGGTAGCCGTTCGTGGTGGCCTGAAGCTGCAGCCCTGTGTAGCTTCCCAGGCATCAGCCTGAACTTGGTGTGCTTGCTCTGTGAGGCACCCAAGGAGAAACTTCCGTGTGCTCCATTCTACCTCCTCTGTGAAGTCAATACTTGTGCCAGACTCGTCGGCTTTCTTGGTCAGTGTCTGTGTACTTTCTCTGCGGAGGGCGGTAAGCCTGTTGTCAGGAGGCTGAGTAGAGTCACACATCTCTGAAATGTTAATCTTCTCCAGAAGCTTCCAGGGGGAGTGCTGGACTGTGTGGAGTAGCCTGGCTAAGTCTGCCCTTGGGGGGTTTTGAAATATGAGGATCATGGACCTGCAATTTGGGAAGAGCCCTCTTAAAAATTTCATTCACTCTGAAGTTTGAGGACCAGTGGAAATCAGCTATTTAAAAAAAAGGGGGGTGGTGGTGGTGATGCACGCCTTTAATTCGAACACTTGGGAGGCAGAGGCAGGTGGATCTCTGTGAGTTCGAGGCCAACCTGGTCTACAGAGCAAATTCCAGGACAGACTCTAAACCTACAGAGAAACCCTATCTCAAAAAACCAAACCAAACAAACAAACACATAAATAATTTTTAAAAATGTAATGGCCTTAATTTTATGTTTATTACCTACGACACATATTAACAAAATGATACTTAAACCTTCTACAAAGAGAATCTTGATTTTCATTTTTGTGAATGCTTCTTCAGGTATTTGGAGAGAGAGAGAGAGTATTAACATACATTGTAGCTATCGTCCACATGGTCCTTGACAGTGAGCCAGGCTCTGGTGACAGATGAGATAAAGAATGGTCTTGGCTGTGGCCCTCCTACTGCAACATTAAACAACGCCTGACCCCCCTTAGACCCCAGTCTCGCTCACCCGCTCACCCACTCTTCCTTCTCCTGCAGGTATACATTATCAACGTGACCTGGTCCGACTCCACCTCCCAGACTATCTACCGGAGGTACAGCAAGTTCTTTGACCTGCAGGTGAGTTGACCAGAGCCAAATGCTGGCCCGAGCCCCTAATGGGATCCTGTCTTTCATGTCCACATTCCCCTGGAGAGCCCTGAGAAGAGCTAAGGGTCAGAATCCAACCTGGCACCGAGGGGCAGATGAGGGAATCTCCACAGAGCCGCCAGACTTGTTGCTGTCCTGACTGCTGCATGCAGACATTCAGTCTTTGTCCTTTTCCATGATGGTCCTTCACAGTCATGCTTTGTCATTCTCCCTTGGCCCTGGGGTGGAAACCATGGGGAGGCCAGAAGGCTGTTGTGGGTCCTCTGGCCGAGCAGACTTCTCTGTAAACATCCATGAAGAGACACAAACCACTGATCATTGCTAGTAAAGAAAAACAAACACACAGAGGAGACCAAAACAAAATAAGCAATTTATAGAACTGCGTGCTGGGCATACCGCCGGGTCTGCCTGGTTACCCAAACAAGGTACTTGCCACCCAGTTCGTTCGTGTGGATGGTGTGTGTCTCTAATCCATACAGGCATGTTCCTTCAGCAAGAGAGTAACACATAGTCAAGTCACACACTATAATAAAACACAGCCCTCTGATGTGGGCTGATTCATTTTAGGGTCTTTGGGTGACAAGTGACTATTTTATGGTCACACTGGCTTAGACAAGAATATACGAGAAGCTCATGCAATTGACCAGATGGCGAGGAGGACACAGGGGCAATGAGGCTTCCGCAAAGCACGGACTAGGCTCAGCTCTTTCTGTTTTGTCTCTGCTGAAGAACTTAGCTGTCAATAGCTCTTGAATTTCATATCATATCAACACCATAGACACTGACTGTCTCCCTGTTCCAAATTGATAAATCCCAAGAAAGACTTTGATTGACTTTTATTGTATCTTCTCTGGTACCAATCAGAATGCCCAGAGGTAGAGCGTATTAGAGCATAGACATGAACCCTAGCAGGGTGGGAGTGGAATGTCACCGTTGTGTGTCACTGTGAACGGGCAGCTCCCTTCCTCTGTCTGGAAGGGACACCTGAGATGCTCAGATTCTTCCTTAGGATGTGAGCGTAATTTAGACCCACACGTGAAGAAGAGAAATTTGTGCCTAGCCTTCGCAGCCAGCAGCCGGTACTTCCCTTTGGACCCTTAGCAGTAGACCATCTTGGAGAGGTGGATGCAGGCTTATCTGTTTGTGCATTGATACCTGCTTTTATCTCATGATCCTTATCTCTCCATTTATGAGACAAACTTTTAAAAAAAAAACCACATTCCCAGGTTATGGGTCCTTAGGGTTCAACGGTATGGGATTGGCTGTGTCACTGTGTGTGGGAGTGGGCGCCCTCATGACTCCTGCCGTCTGCCTCATCTCCTCTCAATCCTGTTCAGTCTCCTTGGTCTCTCCAGGATAAACTGGTGGGATTTACCCACACCCCATCAATGGGTGCAGTGTGTGGGGACAGGAAATGATAATGCAGTTGGGCCGAGTGTGGACCCTGAAAGAGCCCATTGATGAATTGGAAGGAGTCTAGAAGCCTGGGGAAACTTCCAAATCAGAATTTCTATTCTGGTCTTACCCCCTCCCAAGTTATAGTCTCTCACAAGAAAGGAATGCCGGCCCCCCACCCACCCCCACCCTGCTCGAGGACTCTCTTCCTCCTATCACTATGAGAAGGGATGCAAGCTTGGAGTAGCTCTGTGATGTGCTGGCCCTGGTCCTGGAATGACTGTGCTTGCGGCCAGGCTTGTCTGTGCGGCTCATCCTCTAGCCCCGTGTGTACATCCATACGCTCAGTTAGTTTCAGATCAAAGGTATTTATTTATTTGTGGTGGGCATGTGTCTGCCACATGTAGAGGGTAGAGGACATCTTGAGGGAGTTAGTTTTCTCTGTCCGTTATGTGGGTCCCAGGGATTGAGCTCCAGTCCTCGGGCTCAGCAGCAAGCATCTTCACCTGCTGAGCCATCCCTCTGACCCCACAGACACTTTCGAGCCAGGCATGGTAGCACATATCTCTAATCTCAGCCCTTGGAAGATAATGCAGGGGGATAAGGAATTTAAGGCCATCCTCAGCTACGTGGCTAGAGGGCAGCCTGGGCCACTTGAGACTGTGTCTTTAGAAAAAAAGGAAAACATTAATTTTTGGTTTCCACCCTGAACATGCACAGATTCTTTCCTTTGTCAGTATTCCCTAATCAGTACAGTGTAGCAGTTACTTGCATAGGATGAGCTCTGAGGCATTCTTTTTCATCTTTGTGCCATTAATTCCTTCCCTTGTTTTCATGACTTTCACATTTATTGGGGTTGCTGGTCTGACAAGATGACTTCGCAGGTAAAGGCTTGCTACTATGCCCAGCAACTGTCAACTGAGCATGCCCATTGGAACAGCTGCCCCAACGCTCCTCCGAAAGCCAGGTTAGACTCCAGGGACGGAGTCAAGAGCATCTTAGATGTTGAGGTGGAAACGGGAAAGGCAAGGGCGTTTTCTTCTAAGGATAACTTCCTGCTCAACTCTCCGTGAGCTGGAGAGGAACCCACAGGGAGCTGAGCAGGGTATGGACTCAATGGCCATGTTTGTATGCTTGGTTATAAAGGGTGAGCTTGAAGATGTAGTCAAGTTAGGCAGGAGGCAGGCGAGGGACCACAAATGCCCCTTTAAAGTCATCTTTTCATTTGACATGTCTCCCCTAGTGCCACCAAAGGACAGGAAGGCTCCCAGGCCCTGGCTCCATTGGGGGCTGTTTCACAACCTGGCCTGCCAGGCACTGGGGTGCTGTAATTTCTCTGCAAACATTGGCTCATGTGCTGTTGGCCCCTGAGAGGGACCCCTGGCAGTGAGTGCAACTGGGTCAATATTTGGTCAGAGCCAGGAAGAGCCCTTGAGCTTTCCCCGCACCCTTGGAAGACAGTCAAGAGAGCTGCCTGGGTCTACTTATTTGCTCTAAGAGCTAAAACGGTTTCGAAGAGCTTTTATCCCTCTTCCTTATTCATCTGTCCTGCCTTTTCCACCCGCACACCCGGCACAGAGCTGCTCTCAGTTTCCAGTTCTTGAATAGCCTGGTTAGTGATGGGTGCACAAAGTTATAACCCCCAAATCATTAATATTCAGCTATGGAATAATGTGCTGGGGGCTGTTGTGATATTATTTATGGAGATTCATGAATCATTGCGTTTTTAGAGTTAGAGTCCTTTCTCTTCTGTGTGTGTATATGTGTGTGTGCGTGCATGCATGCGTGTGTGTGTATGTGTGTGCATGTGTAGTGTATGCAGGTGCATGCACCTGTGTTCAGGTATGCAGAGGAAGACATTGGGTGTAAGATGTCCTGTCCTATCACTTTCTACATTATTCCTCTGAGATGAATCTTTCACTTAGCCTAGAGCTGGGTTGATAGCCTGTCTCTGCTCCTCCTGCCCCAGCTCTGGGGTGGCAGATGCGTGCAGCCATGCTCAACTTTTTCCACGAGTTTTTGGATTCAAACTTAGGTCCTCACACTTGTTCAATAAACACTGTTGCCCACTGGGCCATTTCTGCACTGCAACCTCTAGAACTATAGGAATTTTTATTCTAAGGCTTTTACTTTTTAGGTTAAAAAAAAACCTGTTAATTTTTCTATTTATGAGAAATTTTGTGTGTTGTGTTTTGTATGTATGTATGTATGAATGCCCATGTGTGTGCAGGCCAGATGTTGACATTGAGTGTCTTCTTCAATCCCTTTTCACCTTATTTATTGTGAGGCAAGGTCTCTAACTGAATCTTGATCTTAACAATTCTGCTTGATTGGTTGGCCAGTGAGCCCTAGGAGAACTCCAAGCCTAGGTGAGAGACAGCAGGGTAAAAGCCTGGGGAGATGGTTGCTGAGGGGCGTGTGTAGTGTGTGTATGATGTGTGTGGTATGGTTTTTGTTTATGGTGTGTGTGATATGGGTGGTGTTTATGTGGGTAGTGTGTGGATGTGTGTTGTGTCTATGGTGTATGTGATATGTGTGTTGTATGTATGTGTGTGGTGTGTGTATGTGTGGTGTATGTGTGTGGTGTGATATGTGTGGTGTGTGGACGTGTGGTATGTGGATGTTGGTGTGTGTGATATGTGTGGTGTGCGTGTGTATGTGTGTGGTGTGTATGGTATGTGCGATATGTGTGGTGTGTGTGTCCCGCGCTACCATCTCGCCCGCAAGAACGACGCGGGACACTTAGGATCCTTCTGCAGAAAAGCTTTAATGCATCTTGAGAGAGAGAGCATAAGCTTACAAAGCGGAGACCCAGAATGAGGGGAACCCAGCCCTTATAAAGGAAACAGTCCTTGCTTCTGACGTGTCAGTCTTGGATTGGTCCGCTGCCCCTTATCCCAGATGATGCCTCGGAAGTAGGCAGGGACAGCAGCAGTAGAAAGTTACCAAGCACGTGCGCTGGGATTAAAGGCGTGTGCTACAACACCTTGAACTCACAGAGATCTGCCTGTCTCTGCCTCCCAGGCATTGGGACCAAAGGCATGTACTACCACACCTTGAGGTCACAGAGGTCAATCTGCCTCTGCCTCCCAGGCATCGGGACTAAAGGCGTGTACCACCACACCTTGAGGTCACAGAGGTCAATCTCTACCTTTGTCCCTTGAAGCAATGGAGAATGTGGTTGCGGCCCTCCACAGTGTGTGTATGTGTGTGGTGTGTATAGTATGTGTGATATGTGGGGTGTGTGTGATGTGTGGTGTGTATGTGTGTGGTGTGTATGGTGTGTATGATATGTGAGGTGTGAGTGTGTGGTGTGTGTAGATGGTATATGTGGTGTATGTATGGTGTGTGTGGTATATGTGGTGTGTGTATGTGTGTTTGTGTGTGTGTGTGTGTGTGTGTGTGTGTGTGTGTGTAGGTCAGAGGACAACATGTGGAGGTCAGTTCTCCCCTACTGTGGATTCCAAGTTCTAACTCTGATTAGGCTGGGCCTGGTGTCTGTTGAGACATCTCACCCACTGATATATAACTACTTTTGAAAGATCTAGAAGGATGTACTCCAGATTGGCAACGAT